CCCCCCCCCCCCCAGTGATGATACTCTTGAGAATTCTTGCTTTCACATTTCCAAATAGTCATGTGTACATGAATGAACAACTTTTTGATGGATAAAATAACAATACTCTAGCGAAAACTGTGGGTCTGTTATGGAAAAACAAACACCCAAGCTAAAAAGGTCAATTGAGTGCAAGACCAGGACTGTACAGCCAGACAGAAAGATGGCTGAGATGCAGCCTAAAAAAGGAAAAGAAAACAAATAATAATCAAGATACAGTGTTAACTGTGTATTCCAAAAAAAAGAGAAACAACAAGAAAACATGAAAAGAACAAAAAGAAGACTAACAAACAAAAAGTGTACATTTCATTTTCATAAGATAGATCTGACACTGGCAAGCCTGTTATGTAATCTCAAAAATGTAGGTTTCCGTACAGATGATTGAGATGACAGGACTGTATAGTATTATTGAACTGAACTGATATAGTATAGTATTATTAAAGTGTTCTGCACTGAACTGAACTGGTAGACTATTACAATCATCTTTTTTTAATTGCTACAGAAATATAAAAAATGCAGTGATTGGAAATAAAGCTAAAAAGTCATCATTCATCAGACTTGATGTCATACCAAAGATAATAGAACTTCTGGTGCAGGATGACACTGGAATTGAGTTTGTTGTTGAATCAGTTGTGCTGTTAGGGAGCCTGGCAAGAGGTATGGTTTATAATTTTATTTACATCCTGGATGGGCAGGGCTTGTCCCATAAGGTGTGACTCCCAGTTGTCCACTTTCTTTCACTCTTTAAGACCAAAATGTTTGATTTTTCTGCATCCTGTTTCAGATTTTAGCTTAGTTCATGGTTGTTGTTAGTGGTTGGTGATAGTGATTAATATGGTGGATATGTGCATGTACCTTTTGAAAGACCAAACATATTCTCATGGTACTCCTCTTCCCACCTCCCTACTTGTGGGCTCAAGCAGTGCAGGCCGTAATGTTGGAGAGAATGGTGGACTGTAATAAGGGACGTGAGGATGTCGCTCAGTTGATTAATTTATACTTGGGCGGACATGAATTTTTTGGCATTTCATTGTAAAGAAAACCAGGCTCCCCGTGTCTGCTGTGAGGCTCTCTAGTTTATATATAAGTGCTGTGCTTATATGGATGCAATATGTTAAGAGGGTTTGAAACAAAAGTTGTGTCTTTGCACTGAAATTTATTGTATGCCATGGGGATAAAGGGTTCTGAAACCTTCTTGATGTCAGTTTTGTCCGATAAAAATTGATTCCCCACAAAAACATTCCACCAGCTTTCCATTAGTGACAAGAAAATGTTGCTACTTGAATTTGGGAAAGCATATTAAGTTTGTTACTCATTTTGTGTACATGATCAACAAAATTCCTGCCGTTTTTTTCAAAGTTGGAGCCTGGCACACAGCTAAAAAGTGCACATGTTTATTGTTTTTTTCCATTCTGAATATCCTGCAGTGTTCATTAACCAGGAACTGGTTTCTTTTTCACACCAGGCTTTCATTTCCCAGTTACATTGTACAGTTTGGAATTATTCACTATAGTGATCATCGCACAATCAGATGATCTTTGCTAATCTGCAGAAAGATGGCTAACATCTTTTATGATAAAAGTTTTCAATTTGCCTTGGGTCAGTCCACCAGAAATCTGTGCATATCAAATCATGGTACCCAGGTTCCTATCCTCTTCTCTGCCACTATATGAATCTTGTTTCAGTAGTCCCAAATTTAACTCAGCTGTGTGGGTGAAATGTCTTGCCCAAGAACATAACACGAATTGTCCCTGGCTAGAGCTCGAACCCGAATCACTCAATATTGAGTCAAGAGCATTAACCATGAGGCCAGCACACCTCCACACAACTTCCCCATGCTTTTTAAAAGGAACTGATTAGCCTCCACCAGTTGGGAGTATTTGAATGACAAGTTTTCTGTTCTATTATTGACCATGTCCATTTGTTTATTTAGTTTCTCCAAGTAGCACTGGTAACAGAATATCTTGACACTTACATGTAGTAACTAATTTGTTAATTAGTCACTTATTAATTGATTAATTGAGTTGTACATAGAATTTTTAAATAATTTAATTTTTAATAGTTCTATCTTTATTCTGAATTGGGACGAATAAAGTATGTATGTACGTATTATTTATTTAATTAAATTCTGTTTTCTCTTCTCTGTGTGGGTCTCAGTTTGAAATATTAGGAGTTGCGAGTCATCTCTTTCTCAACGATGCCAGAAATGTTTGGATAAATATTTTCTTTTGGTGAACAAATTCATTACTAAAAGAAAAAAAATAATGCTCCTGTTTCTTATTATGACATATTATTGTTGCATGTTTCTCCTGTGATATAAGATAAGTTATATTGTTTCTTCTGTTTAAAGGTTCTGCTGAGAACGTTCAAGCTCTTTTGGAAGCACACTCACTTGATGTGTTCTTCAAAGGTATATTCTATTTGTGCTCTTTTTTTGGTTGGTGCGTTTGTAAGTACAGTGTAAAGGAAGTATTACTGTCATTTAGGACAGGCTAATGGCAAGTGCTGTTTTCTTTTAAAAGTAATTCAATTTATTTCTCAGTATTCTTAGTCTGATTTGGGACAAGTGTCCTCTAACCATCAAGAGGAATAGACTCATTTTAATTCAAGGTTTTAAAATGGTAAACAGCAAAATGCATTTTCTGCCCCTCAAAATATTGCTTCCCCATGCAGTTGTGAGTTTTCAAACAATAATAGCACTGATGATACTAATGATAGTACATGGATGTGCTATGTAATAAGACTTAACTTATACAAGATTACTAAGACTTTCTGGTGAGCCTTAAAGTACTGAAATTCTAAAAGGTTTGCATTCTCATCACCTAGAATATATACTCGTTTATAAATTTCTAATTTTTGTTTCCTTGAATCTCTGGCAGGTATTTGTCATTCAGATGCTAGAGTGGTTGCAGCATCTGTCAGATCCTTGAAGTCACTCTATAGTTCTTCCCTTACTCCATGCAGTCCAGTCTTTAAAGTAAGTAATGTTTGTAATGAACTGGCAGAGATTAGCCTCCCCAGCTTCTGGATTAAACTATTCGTAACTTTGTACATGTGCTGCTGTTATGAAGCTACATGTTTAGCTTCAACTACATGTATAAACAGACATCAATGATTTTTAAAGTTGCTTAAAATATTTAAGAAATGGACAACAACTGTTTAAAACAAGACATGTTTCGATTGTTTAATGATCATCTTCAGTTGTGAATTCATTTACAAGTTTGGTTGAATTAATACAAGCAATGGNCTTCAACATAAGTTGTAGTTTGTTGGGTGCACAATCCACAATGGAAAAGCAGTTTTTGTTAGCTAAACACCGACATGCCTGGGATTGCTGCAAATGCTGATATACGTGTGAATTCCTGTCCCTGCTCAGATGCTCAGGAACGCGCACCTAGAGATGTCGGCTAGTCTCGCCGATGTAACAGGCATTACATCCCGCACACAAAAACTTAAGTTTTTCAAAACGTGTCTTGTTTTAAACTTAAAGTTGTTGTCCAGTTCTTAAAAATAGTTTCTTGCCTGCTATTATCCAGACCATTTGGTGCTTAAAATATATATTTACCGCTAGATAACATTTATGAGAAGTTGAAGGTAAAAATATAAAATGTTACAATGTTACATGTATATGAAAATGCATAGACAAGTGTGGGTTCTATAGTGGTCAAGTATTAATTTTATTGTTTCCCAAAAATAGTTCCAGCAGGTTGATTGACAGCAGCCATAACTGACAAAATGTTAATGCTGTTTCCCCAAGCTGAAAGCAATATGAATATAATAAAATAATCATTATTATTGAATTCAAGTGCTATGATTTGTCTTATTTCTCAGAACCCAAGTATAGTTCCACAGTTAGTTGAATTGCTGTCAAGTTCTCTATCTAATGCTGAAGGTGCAGCTTTAATCCTCTCCAAATGTTGTCAGGTAAAAAAGTTTCAGTTGCAGGTTGCAGTCACTGTGTAATGTTAACTGTGTCAAACGCTCAGCCCTGAGTAACAAGCACTTACTACAACCCAGAGATTTTTGTAGACTGTGAGCAATTGCTCTTTTTTCCACTAAAAATCTACAATCATGGACAAAAGTCTTGGGACAAATTTGGTTTTTTGACGCTTTTGCACACAAGGCAGATGCGAATACAACTTCAGCTGCCTAACCTCTCCCCCCACCCCACATACAATGTCGAAACCTAGAACCTGCAAATTCTCCTGATTTTCAACATTGTATTAGGTGGGGTGGGGTGGGGAAACAGCAATGCGTTTTTAAAAGGATAGCAGTTTTTTTGTCAAACTTCAGTTGTAAAACAGATAATTTGTTACATTACATTAAGTGTCCCAAGGGGTTTTGTCCACGATTGTAGGTGACCGTCATGCGACATCATGGAACAGCCGCCATTTTGGATCTTTGGGCATGTGGTCCAGTATATAATTATGCAATTCTCTTACTGTTACTTCGTTAGCACAAGCGGATAAGGTGCTGAACGGGCGGCATCCGAGTTTGTTTTGTCGTGACACCAGTTCGATACGAGGTTGGTTGATTTTTTCCGGTTTATTTCTCTACTTCTTTCAAAAATCAAAACATCTATTTAAAAAAAATTGTGCTGTCAAAGCTGCTAAACATAACCGTTTAAGTTCGCGCTGTGTCAAAATCCACCTTGGAAGGATTCTCTCCAAAAGATGCCGCTCGGAAAACTGATTTTTTTTTTGCATACGATATTTCTCGAAAACGAAGTGCAAATCAACAAAAACAATTACGCAACAATGCTTTTCATGTCAAAACAAGTCAGTCCGCCAAAAATTAGCTCGATCCTGCAAAAAATAAAAATCGACCCAAAATGCCACATATGCCCTTTTTGCATGAAAGCCTTCAAATAAGGTATTTCACGGTTCAGTGCAGAGATTATGTGGCTGAGGAAAATGTTACAACAGATACTGGAGCACTGAAGAGTCTTCCTCTTAGTGTGAAGCTCTGGAAAGGCAGTTACTCAATACCCATACAAGTTTTTTTACTTGTTTATCCCTCTATTTTCAGGGTCCTGCTCATCAAGCATTGTTATGTAACATGGGAGCGGTAACTGCTTTACTGCCTCTCTTGGTGTGTGATATCCCCAAGATACAACATCCAGCTTTACAGTGTTATGCAGCCATGTCCTTTCAAAATGGAGCTGTGTCATTGGCCATGAAATCAGGTATTGACTACAGGATTGTGTTGTTTTTAGACTGTAAATATACTGGTTTGAAAACCCATGTTAACTTGGGACTGGCCCTTTGAAATGAGCTATTTAATGTCTAAATTCATAATTAATGTACAAAAGTTTGGTTGTACAACATAGGTCTCTAGTGCCAGATAATTTCAAGTAGATTTGGAAGGTTAAACACAAAGGCTCACCATCATAGGGACTAAGTTCCTCCCACTCCTTGTACCAGTTGATTTACAATGTATTCAGATTCCATGTGGAATTTTGAACTTAGATGCAGGACTTTTTAATTCTTCAATTTCTTTAGCTAGAAGAAACAAAGCACATAAAAAAACTGTGAAATTTGAGATTATGATAACAAACAAGCACATTATTTATTTATGAGATAAGTACTGTTAGTATTTGAGATTCATGTTTACCACAATTCATTGTCAGTGGTTATTAAGTGACATATACTTAATAACAATACAATACAAACATTACATACAATACAAAGTCAATTTGATTTGTAAAGCAGTCTTGTATTATTTTTTATGTAGCAACACATCAAGGTGAACAGTTAGTTCAGGTTTTTACCAGGTTGCTGTCAAGAGACAGACCAGATGAGGTTCAACTTGGAGCTGCTAAGTGGTAAGTATGTTACTGTGTGACTGTTCACTCTCTCTCAAGAGTCTTTGTCATGCTCTTACTTTGCTTGAACCTATAATGACACAAAAATAAGGCTGTGATCTTCATTAGAAATAAAAAAACAAACAAACAAACAAACAAAAATACCTGTAGCAAATTTTCCTGGATATTGTTAGCAGTAACAAAAATAATGGTAGTATCATCACCGTGGTTTTTTTCCCCCAAGTGAGTACCTTGTTACATAGACTAACAGTTTAACAGTTATTAATCCTGACCAATTAAAGTCTTACTATTATTTGAAATTTTGGTGTTAAAGTATTGTTGTACATGTATTTTGTCCCTGCCCCACATGCACCACATGACAAGTACTATATAAACACCTACTTAAGGCTGGTTTCCATGTAAATTAAAAGTCTGTTACAATTTCTGCAATCCTTGGGATCATTGCAAAAAAAATAATGAACAATCCTTACAACCGCCAGTTTCCATATGATCACCACAATCACTACAAAGGGAAAGACTGTTCAAGATGATCTCAATCAAAAAACATGACACACTGCATTGTGATACATTTTATGCAACAGTTGCTGCTGACAGTCTTTGGTGACTGGCCTCCTTGTGATAGTAATCATTGCTACAATCATGGAGTTAAAGCTGAAGTCTATCTTAGAGATTGTTGTTGCAACAATTGGGCGTTATGTTGTTACAGTTGCTATATGATCACAATGATTGCTCAACTTTTACTGTAGCGAGTATGGAACCCTGCCTTAAGTAGTCTCAGTAGCGTTTGTTGATCTTATTTTCAGCTTGACAAATATGCACAGAGCAGGAGCAATCCCAGCTGCTGAAAACCATTCACTACTGATCAAGGTATGTACCATTGTACAGCTATTTTGTTCAAGACAGTTAATTTTTCTTCCCCTAAACTCTGGGGTTCTAACCATTCTATCGATGTCTCTCCCATTTGTGAGTCTGGTTCCAAAAAGTCACTTTCTGTGGCCTATAATATACATGTATACATTCGTGTAGAAACGTTTTAAGGGATGTCAATTCACTTAAGGTTAAGGTAGCTAAGTCTTGAAAATGTCAAAATTACTGGTTAATTTGCTACAGTTTTGCCCAACAGGTGTGTAACTCTATTACCAATATATATATCATCACACAGATACCCCTCACCATTTTGACTCACTGTCAGGTTTCCCCAATGATTCACGAGAACCCATAGTATCAGTCAAATATAAGATAACCCCTTCCTTTGTCTTGTGAGACAAGATTCTTCTTTCAAGATAAAAAAAGACAAGCTGACTGCCAACTTACATTTGACTGATACTGTATCCCTGGGTAAAGAGGAACTTTGTGAGAGAAAAGTAGTGTTATTACTCAAAAACAAAACATCGAACACTGAGTAGAAAGGTATGAATTAACCTTTATACCGTCCAGTGCCTCCTGTTAATTATTATTGTTTTATTCTACACATATATCAGGTTCTTGCCACGGCAGTCAGAATGTGTAAGTGGGATAAAATTCTCACAGTCCGAGCTGAGGCAGCAGAAACCTTAGGTAAGTAAACTCTACTACACTTCAGTTTTCATTCTTTTAAAATGTAGAAATTATCACTTAGATACAGCTCACACCTTCTGATGTTCAGAACTGCTCTAAAATAGCTGTAAGTTTTGTTTTGTGGCAGTTTAATACCATCATTAACATGTGTTTTGGTGCACTCTTGTGGTCGATCCGTGTTGCTTTGAACGTAGTATTTTGTCGTTACCCCACATATACACATTAGTGGTTTACATAGGCTGATCAGAATGTTCCTTTCATAGTCTATGCCGTCTATGCCCATTCAGGTGAGGACGGGGCAAGAAGAAAACACCGCCACCAATACAGTGGTGACACATAAATTTAAGAACATGCGTGCAAGTGCTACCTTATTATAAACGCTTATATTTTCCAGCATTTCTCATTGAAGAAGATACTGAATTGCAGAGGACAGCAGCCATCTCAGATCACTTAATAAAGACACTGACAGGCTTCTTGGTGAAAAGTGATTTGGATGACAGCTCATATGCTCTTATGAGAGAGGTTAGTTTTAAGGGGGTAGGGAGGGTACAGGCAGCTACAGGGACTCTGAAAAAACAGGGGGGAATGAGTTTGGGAAAAGTTGGGAAAGGGGTTTGGTTGTGGGGAAGAAGTTTAGGGCAGAAAGCTTGGAAAATTACTGATTGGCGTCTTGTGAGGGAGAGGGAGAGATGGTTAGAAGGTTATGAACAAAAAGATTAATAAGTGATAAAAAGATAAAAGTAATAAAACATTCCTTAAGTGGTGAAATCTCAGCCACATAACAGTTAAAGCTAATTTCCTCGTGACTTTCCAAACAATGGCGTCTGCTTTTTTTCTCATTGCAGTGACGTGTTTTCCAATTTTGCCATGATAATAGACCAATTTCGATATATTAAAATTCAGCCTAAAACAATAGACCTCGGCACGAGGCTCGGAGGAATAAACCCCACAAACTCTGCTGTTATTCCCCGGAGCCTCGTGCTGAGGTCTATTGTTTTAGGCTGAATTTTAATATATCGAAATTGGTCTATTGTATTCTTGTTATTTCCACCAGAGTGCTTTTAAAGCCCTTGCTTCAGTTGGAGCGAATGATGAAGACATCAGAAAAAAGGTTCGTACATCAATGAGATAAATAAGGGATGCAAAATTGATGCGGGCATCAGTGTCCTGACTAAACCACAGTGCTNAGGGGCTCATGACAAAAACGCACGACTATTTACAATAACATTACTACTTTCTTTCTTCTTCTCGTAACCCAGAACATGGCTTATCAGGCGGACCATTTAACCAAAAATAAAATCCTGGAAGTGTTGGGACCGGAGCAGTTGTTCAGGTTAGAACTATTATTTTTATGTTTATTGATAATTTGTAAATAGCTTATTCAGGCGCACATTCATGACAGAGTATAGCATAAATTGAGCTATCGTTTGTAAATCGTGTACACGTTAAACTTGGCTGATTGAAAAGAAAAAACGCTCATGACACGCATGCACCCAACGCTGCGCAAATCTGAAAAAAGCTCATGTAATATTAATTTTTATTCAACATGATTACAAACGAAAACCAAACCAGTAGAAATGAACGTACACTGCTGAGATTAAATGAAATATAAACTGGGCATTTTTTTTTTTCTCGTTCCAAGTAGCACACATAAGTCGGAGCACCACAAAGTCTTTGGCTTGTAACCGCGGGAATACTCTGGTATCCTTCGGCATGATCAATATGAGACTTCACACCATCTGATGTCAATATTCTTCCTCTCTCTCTCGATGTTTCTTGCAGTACAGTGGAACCCCGTCTTACAGTCACCTCCTTATTACGGCCACTGTTTTTCTCTTGTCCCGGCGAAACGCCCATACATTTTCTCATAAGAAGACCCCGTGAGTGCGGCCACCCAGTTAATACGGCCAACGGCTACTTTCTGAAATCCCAGCCTGTATAATAATCCTTCATAATTTTACTCCGTTTATACTGCCACTCGATCCAGCTAAGTTCATCTTTTCAAGTTTAAATTATTGTTAAATTATATCTGCATTCGGAAGGTTGTTAACCCTTTGATATTTTGATATTTTAACGGGAAGCTTTCTCACCCGTAGGTGATCTACAGAAAGGTCCCGATCCAAAATAACATTAAATTATTAAAAAATAAATACACAAATTAAACCCTTTGACTCCCATGCAGGCATTACGCTTACTGAGTGGTCGTGCTCATTGTACCACTTGTGACGTCAACAATTTAAGTGTCACCAGATATTCTTGATAAGCAGATAGTAGAGCTAGGATAGATCTGTCTACACAACAGGCTATTTTGGATATCGACGACATTCTGACGTAGCAAAGTGAAAAAGAACGTTATTAGTTTTGGTGCAAAAATGGTGGTAAAATGGCAGCCAAAAACCTGATTTAACGGTTAAAAACGGGATTTTTTGTGAAATTTGGGTGTTGAAGGGTTAAAGAAAAGGCCCCAGTTGTTCGAAAGGTGGATAACGCTATCCACCGGATAAAT